TGCATGTAAGGGTTGAATTCTCCCCATATAATTTTATTTTCTAAAAATTTGAATAACAGTTTTAAAGTTTTATTTGAGAAACAAACTTTTCTAAACATAGTGGGGTATCTATCTTTATCTGATAATGTTTCGTTAAAATCTTTAACCATAACAATTTAAAAATTATTCAAATCTTTACTACGTAATTTATTTATGAATTTGTTAAAAAATTTATCATTAAATTTTGAGTGTTTCAGGCACCAAAAAAGACCGAAAATTTTTATTACTAAATAATTCATGTCACTAATTTTATAAGCTTTTCTTTTATTTAGTATTACTATTAATATTATTATTATTTCCTACCTAAATTTTTGCCGAATTTTCTAGATCAGGAAAACATTTTAAGAAAAACCTTAGTATTCAAAAATAAATAAACAAATAGGTTAATAAACAAAGTAACCCAGTGGGCACCAGACCAAAAAAGGACGTCTTTTGAACGTTCAAAAGACGTCCAAAACAGTTTTCAAGCTAGCCCTAGTTAACAAGTTTTCATGTTTTCCGTAGTTAACAAGTTTTCCCAAGTTAACAAGCTTTCCTTAGATAACACCTACAATCTATTACGAGAAAAATGGGTACGAAACACATTTTATAAACCTTTCTCTACCTTTTTTTAGAGGTTTTCAGTTAAAGTTATTTTATTTATAGTTTTTTAGGCCGTTTTTTCCAGTAGATTGAACTGCGGTAGAAATCGTTGGAGACAAATTAAAAAACGGATTTTTTTTTTCGACCAATTTAAATTTTTGAAAAGTATTTTTGCACCAATTTGCAAACCGTATTGTTTCTGTATCAAAGAAAAGTTTTTTTAGTATAATAAGTTTATTTATAAATAGATTTTTATTTCCGAACTATAACAGATTTCCTTCAAAGAAATTTGATATGTTAAAATTAAAATGTTGATATGTGATATGTAAAAATGTCAAATAATCAAAACTTGCTTATTCAACGCTAATTTTGCACGCTCAAAGTATATTAGATATATATCTTAGACTTTTGATTTACAAAATTAAAATAATATAAAAAATGCTAAACAAAAACGTTTGTTTTGAAAAGAGCCTGGAAAGAGCAAGACTTCATTGACAAAATAGTTGATGGATGTGCTTCTGTTGTGTCAATAGAGACCAAAAATAGGCTGTTCATTTTAGATCTAATTAATTAATTTTAAAACTAATAAAGGAAGTTGAGAACGTGCAAAAACGTTTGTTTTATATATTGTTTAGTTGTATATAAATTATTTATTCTATGTTGTACGCTGTTACATAATGTATTTATTTTGGGGCACGCTGTTAGTGTCCATCAATATGGACCTGCGCGTCCTTTGGAACATGTATTATTTGTTCTAATAAATACAATCTAATTAAATCTGCATTGAAAGCCTTTTAATGTATACGCTTTTTAATCATGAATGAAACGCTTACAATATTGACTAACATAAGTTTTGTAGAGCAATATTGTATGAACTATTCGCAAATTGAATTTTCTGAAGATTGAATCTGAATCATTTACGAAGATTGAATGAAAAGATTTCATTTAAATAAAGAAATTAATTTTTCTCAGAATGCTGTTAAGTAGTTGATCGTCACCCTTGCAACAAAAAAACATATGTTAAGAATCCCCATGCCTTAATTATTTCGAAAAATCCAAGTGTCGCTGACTAAGTTGTTTCTTGTACGTTAAAAAAAAAATCTGTTATTTTTGGCAGTATAAATATAAAACTTATAACATATGGAAATATTCAGCATATATAAAAAAAGCCATGAAGAAAATAAGAAAAAATGTAGGAAGATCCGGAACACAAGATAATACTTTTGCTAATGTACAGATTACACTATTTAAATTAGCTTTACAATGTCAAAAAATGTCATTTTAAGAATGGCAAAAACCTTTTTAAAAAAAAAATTGTGTATTGTGCTGACTAATCTATGCCAGTAACATAAGTGTATTCCTTCAGAAAATTGATTTTTTAATTCTGTTGTATTGCTATTGATGAAGGTAGGAGATCTCTAAAGATAGTCGTAAGCATGTTTGAAGTACACAGAGGTTAACAAAATTATCATACTAGGTATAGTTTGAAATGCAGAGAAGAAAATTATCACAAAATACATTTAACCACTGAGCTCAAACTCATCAACAACATTCTTTTTTTTCTGTGCCAAATATAAGCACCTAATTGTGTTTTATAGGAGCAATACCTAAAGGTTTTTTCTGATTAACAGCGTTTAAGAAAACAATATGTAATTTTAACTTCTGAGATAAAATACAAGATTTAGTAAGTTGACAATAATCAATTTTAGCGTCATCACAAAGTTAATCCGTATCGGATAAAAACGTTTTTGTTTTTTTTCACGCCGCATAGGTTTTTTAGCGTATATTTTGACTATTTTATTAAAACAAGTTTACTTTTTAATATTTTTTTAAAATGTTTTTACTTTTATTACTACTTTTTACTATTTTTTTCAAATAAGTTCATGGTTGGCCATGAACTTATATTTTTTCATAAAGAAAGTTTTTTCGGTAAAGGAACTTACTATCTTAGAAAAATGGATATCTCACTTTTATACATTAAAAAAAAAAAAAAAATTTTAAACATTTTTCTTCTTTACTATATCTATAACTTTAATGTTATACCATTTTTATTTAATTTATTTAACATCATAAATAGTATAACATATATATATGAATACAAATAGTATAACATTATGCATCTATGCATGTCAATACACCTGGGCATGATTATTATTTTTCATGATACAGTCAGCGAAATTCGAAGAATTTCAGGTCGGCACAAGCGTAAGCGACTTAAGCCGACGTCTGGTCGGCAAAAAAAAACTTGATTTTTTGTTTTCTATTACGATAGGGGTAATAATTAATTGATAATAAAAGGATTGCTTTATAATAGCATAGCTTCAGACAATGATATTTTAAAGAATGCAGCAGTTACTAAATTAAGTATGTAGCAAATTTATAAATTTGTGATTTTTTAGTTTTGAAGTTTTTTTTTTTTATGATCATAGTTTATTTATTACATTTTAATTGGTTTTTTAGATTGCTCATAGAAAGAACGTTGTTTAGAAATACAAATTTAGTTAATGTGCTGTAGGCGAAGATTTTATTTAAAACGGCAAATTGTTTAACAAAATGAGTAGACAGTTTACATCTGGTTGTTTTATTTTTCTGCCCAATCATCATCAAGTTATTTTTTTTTATAAGTGTACAAACGTTTCTGCAGCTTTTTTTTATTATGACAGTTTTTTAAAAGCTCTGAATACACTCGGCAAGTTTTACACCATATTAAAATTAATTTAAACCCCCATTCTTCAATGACAGTTCTGTTAGGCAGGTTTTTGTGTCTTGTTTTAAACTTGCTTACTGTATTATTGTTGTGTCTGTTGCAATTTAATGCAAGCCTTAACTTCTATTAAATTAAAAAAATTTTTTGTAACTAATGTTTCTTCTCCACATGTGTTTAACATAACTATACCAAGGCAAAACTTTCCTAATATACTTTGCTGATCTTAAATAATATCTAAAAAACCGTAAACTTGTATATTATTTTATTAGTTAAATGGTTTTAACTTTAAATTATATTTTATAACTTAATAAAATAATAATTGCGGTTAAAAAAGCGTGAGAACAACAGGCCTTAAAAAAGTAATATTTTTTAACCTTGCTATGCTGGAATAAATTTAAGAAAAAAAGAAAAAAAAAGGAATTGAAAAAAAAAAGAAAAGTAAGTAATTACAATAAAAAAATTGTAAAATATTATTTAACGAATATTATTTTATAGTTTCTTATTTAAAGTATTTCAATTTGCATGCCGACACTTTAGTATATTCAGGTCGGCAGTTGTATGCCGTCCTAAAGCAAAAATAGGTCGGCTTTTGCGTCGGCATTGCCGACTTGAATTTCGCTGACTCATGATATATAATTGTAATTCTTTACAGTTAATTGCTATTCTTATTTTTCGTTTATAAACAATTTTTCAGGTTGTTAACTTTTGTCTATTTCAATTTAGAATCAACAAATCAATTTATAACATGTATAAAAATAAAGATTATACAATATGTTGTCTATTCATAAAGCAAGCATATTAGATCAAGACTAACCGGAGTGTTTAAATTCAATGAGCTAACAGAAGTGCTTGATGATGATTTCAACAAAAATAAGTTGAGCCGCTAATAAATACAGAACTAAACAATGAACAAGTTATATGTGATTTGCACAAACAAAAGTACGACAAATACTAATATGTATCTAAGCAGTGCTTTTACAAATATCATGAAGTTATTATAAAAATAAAAGAGACAGAAAAAATATATCTAAAATGCAATTAAAGACTAATATGAAAAAATTATTATTTAAATTCCATATTTTTTTTAGCATTTTGCCAGGTGTGCAGATCAAAGAGACAGCGTGTTTTAAGTCATGATTTAAAAGAGAATGGTTCTTCTTACGGAACTGATGTAGGGTCTTAAAAAAGTTCCTTTTCAGCAGAAAATGTTAATGAACTATTAGGGACATAAATTCCAAATATAAGCCCTTTAAAATAGTATTTTTGAAAAACATATATCATTGAAGCATTGTCTTCAGCAATCAACTACCATAAACAAAAACCTTTTAAAGCAGTAGATATTATATTATACTTTAAAAAAATTACAAAAAAGTAGCACTAGGGCAAGAGAAAAACTTTCAAATATTATCAAATAATCAGGACAACCTAAATCAGTTATTCCAGATGATTTGATCTTGATTTATAAGGTTTATTATTTATTACTTTATTAAGCTAACAATTTTTTTATACTTATACTTCTAGTTAAAATGCAGAGCAGTTTATTTTTTAAAAGTATTCAGTGTAACCATAAAGCTAAAAAAGGGAATAGAAGCTCTTTCATTTTAACATAAAAGAAAGTTTTCCCATCAAAGTTGAACTGCAAAATACTTCCTGAATTAAATATTTTCGTTAGGGATTGTTCAAGATAACGCATACGAAACAAGCAAAATCATTTTAACTGGACATCAACAAGTACAACAGGTACATATTTGCAACATTTTTTAATAATCGTAACTGTATACTTTTTCAAAGCTTGCTCGCAATTTGATTATGAATAACTAGATTTTGTAAATGCTTCAGACTCTTTCAAATTAAAATCATCATCTTTAAAATATCAAAAAGTTATTTTTTGTAGATCTTTCTTTGTTATTTCTGTTATCTGTTTATTTACCTTTCAATTTTACTTGATTGCTAACTTGGTTGTAATCTGAATATAATTTAGGTCCATTTTTTGTGCTTTTACTTACGTACTATTAAATCAACGATAGTTGTGATACTAGTTAATGATACGATCAGTTGGTGAACGATAAACTCGTATTACAGCTATTGTAAACCAATTGTAAAAATATCGCATCACAAAATCAATCAGTTTTATCAGGTTTTTATCTCTAGAAAGTTCAAAAGTTAGTTAATAGCATCCACTGACAGGCCCTAATGATGCAACATGTGAAGATTTAAAGGAGTTTATTTCTCTTATGAAGTGTGCTGCCAAACCCTCAACAGATCGTTACACTTAAGAAAATATAGAAAAACGTTAAGAGAAAGGAAGCTTAAAAAAGACTAGAGGACTCTTAAATTAAAGTTTGTAAAAACTATTTTTAAATTTTATAGTTCAAGAGCGCGATTCTAGGGTTCAAAACGAGAGTTACAAGAGATTTACAAAAAAAAATTAGTATAGTTCTTAACTACAGGCCGCTTCAAGAGCCTTGGAGAGGTAAATTTGATGGGAAAAAAAAGAAAAGCAAGAAAACTATAAGCTTCAATACGACAACAATATTTTTATTGGGTATACAGCTGTTTTTATGACAAGAAGCTTTTATTTTTTAAAAAATAGACTTATTGGATATATGATGAAAAATCATTACAACTTTCAAGCAAACAAAGATTTACATTATTTGCAATGAAACCTACATAAAAATTGACATCATTTCTTATTGATGATTTAATGATATTTTCTAACTTTACCCTTTTTACGCAATAAACATTAAGTTTGGTCCACAGCTTTGGGCCACATCTCTGTTATAACTTGTTTAGTTTGTTTTTACTCATTCAGTCTTATTTGTCAAGGTTTATGTTTTAGCGCTAGAGAACTGTGAGAAATATTGTTTATTATTTGTTTCATTATGTACAAGATTTTAGATTTTATCTTAGATACATTATAATGTTTTATATAACAGGCCACTCTACTGATTATGCAAGAGTTTTTCATATGAGCCATATATGACAATTGCATACTTACCACTCTCCTTACCACTCCCCTTTATGGGATGGCTATAGTGCGTTCCATATGTGGCTTTAATGTTTATCCCACTAAAACCACACTAAATAGAAACGAAAGCCACACTTTATTTTGGCGTGAAAGTTTTGTGTGGCCCACGTGTGGTAAGCATATGTTAGCCATATATTAACCATTCTATTTTATAGGATGGCGCTGGTGCGTTTCATATGTGGCTATAATGTTTATCCCATAAAAACCACACTAAATAAGACCAAAAGCCGCATTATTTTCCTATAAGAAAGTTAAAATAAATATATAAACAAATATTCTGACTTGTTTAAATACCATATTTAAACAAGTCAGTAGATTTGTTTATGTATAGAATATACCAATAATTATACATATATACCTACACAAATACTGTATGTATACTTATTTGTATAGGAATACCACTTAAATAACTTATATGGAAAAAAATCATACTTTTTGTTTTTTTATTTATAATTTTATTCACAGATAATAGATATATACGTACAACAACTTTTCATTAAATTTAAAAAATTCATTCTGTATTAGTTCTGTACACAAAACTAATCTGAATTATGCAATGAAGACGCAATATTTTCTTCAAATTCTTTATCTAGCATTCTTACAATATCTTCGAGCAGTAGTTAAAGATATTTTTATATGAAATCCATGTACACACAAAAAAATCAATAATAACAAAAGCTTGGTTCATCGCCCGCCATTTTAAAATCTAACGTTCTTTTTTGGTAGCAAACACTACATATTAAGATATTTTTACCTTCGTTTAGTATAACTCTGATTACATTTTTTTTTCGTTAAGTATAACTCTGTTTATATTAAGTATAACTTAAGTATAGCAACAAATTTTTTATTCGTTAAGTGTAACTCGGATTTACAAATTTCATTGATAGTTAATTTTGAATAACAATTCTCAAATATATTAATTACAAAACCGCTCGAACATACTTCAACTATGAATTGAAAATTATCAACTATAAACCACATGATATTATTGAATATTCTAGAGTTTGTTACAATGCATTGCAATGGAATCGTAGTTTACAATTGTTTAAAATTTAAAATTCAAAATGAGGCAAGATGGTGTGTTTTATACGTATAGCCCATAAGATAGCCACATAATTTAGCATGTATTTGTTTAAGGATTATATCATAATAAGTGGAATAATTATGTGGATGCATTATGTGTTCCACATGTGGGCCACACTGATCATCAGCATATATATCAATCATCAACTGGAATATAGTTTCACACCTTTATTCCATTTGTAAGCACTATGACCACATGTGAGCCACATATACCTTTCTTGTCGCGTAGGAAGACATTTGACACAGACAATTATAGTATTATTAACAAAATTAGAAAACTGCGCAATCAAAAAAAAAAAAAAAATAGCTTGGTTTACAAGCTACTTATGTAATAGAAAACAATTTTTATTCAACAGTGAAAAAACTAAAAGTATGACAATTGTGGTGTTCTTTAAGGATCTATGTTAGAAACTTTTTTTTAAATATATTTAATATAAATAATGACTTAAGCAATTAAATCGTCAACATTGAACTTCTAAAACTAACTAAATGGTTAAATTCAAACAATTGTCTATTAATTTAATTAAAACTAAATTTACTTTTTTTGATCGTCTTCATTAAAAAAAACAACACAATCCTAACACTTTCAAGTGTTAGGATTTTTGAACACATCGTGAAAGAATGTTCAATGAAGTTCTTTTGATCGAAAAACTCTTGGTTAGTTTAAAACAAAACTAAAACTTTTAAATAATGAGAAAATTGAGAATTATTTATGAAGTGTTCATATCTGGAAAAATATATTGTGTATTTTATTTTGTTTTGAAAGAGTTTTAGTATTTTATTACTTATTTTATAAGAAAGTAAATTAATAAATGTAATAATAATGAATTATAAAATTAAAACAATTGTAATATCAATAATAATTAGTTCTTTTTTTGAATTCTGAAATTAATAAAGTTGAAAGATAGAACTTTTGTTTTTATTATTATTTTTCTAATTTTAAATTTTCATCATTTTTGAATTTTAGGTTACTAACTTTTTTTTGAATTTTAAATAATTTTTTTTTTTTTTTAATTCTGAATTTCGTATTTGAATTTTGAATTCTTGCTAATCTTTTGAATTTTTTTCAATTTTCATTAGTTATATTAATTTTTTCATATTTGATGAAGTCTTACTACTTTACATTTTATAGAAGCGCGTGTGTTTATGTATAAAGTGTTCAATATCATCTTAAAACTTTTAATTGTGATTAGAAATAATGTTTATATGTTATTTGTTTTGTAATAATTTTAAATTTTATTAATTATGCTTTTAAAAAAAACTTTGAAATAATTTCTTAAATTACTTTTTATTTTTCTTAAACTTCTCTACAAAATTTTTATTATTATTTTTATTTTTAGTTGTTACAATTCAATTGTAAAACATGATTGTGTGCGTGAGTGTGCGCGCGTGTGTGTTTATTTTTAACGTGATTGCAAAGTTCACGAGCAACAAGTAAATATGCATCTCCCACGATAAGTTGATCATTCGGATTTGGGCTGCAAACAAAAGTAAAAAATTATCTCTATAACATTTATATTTTTATATTTTAAATTAACTTATTTTAAATTAACTTTATATTTTAAATTAACTTATAACATTAATTAGTTTTTTTTAATTTATACATATATTACTTTGTTTTTATGATTATATTAATTTTAACCTTTCGAAATAGAAGACTGCTTCTCATTTCATGATATTTAATAATATCATTTAAATAATATATAATAAATAATATACAATGTTTAATACTATTTAATATTATGAGAATGTTAGTTAAGATAACTATTTTAATAAAAAAAAACTTAAAAAACGAGATTTTAAAAAACGAGATTTATTTTCTGAATCTACTCAATATCTTTGTCAGGACAAAAATACTATTACCATTTTGAATCTAAACATCCGAAGTACTAAAAATTTGGATAATTTTCAATTGTCATTGCACAAAATTAAACATAGTTTCATAGTTGTTGTACATAATTTAAAATAAATATGTTTATGAAATATATTTTCAAAGTTCTCTCAAAAATGGTAACCTTAACTTAAATTTACTGAATTATGTTTCAAATAAAAATGTTCAGTATTTTTCAGATTCTTGTCGAATATAACCTACTTTCAACAATAAATAAGTCAACAAGATTAACTATAACATCTTCAACATCACTTAGTTACAAACAATTTTAGCAACAGCTATATTCAAGATCAGCCTTAATCAAATCGTACTTAACAGATTACTTTCCAATATTCTTAATTACTAATATCAAAGTTTTAAATCATTTTTACTCAAGCTCTACAAAACACGAAAAAAAAGAAAAGAAAAAAAAAAAAGATATTTTCAAACTCTTTTATCAGAGACTGTTGATGAAACTATGTTTAACAAATCTCACAAAGGAAATACTGCCTATAAACTACTTTTAGAATAATTCTGTAAACAGTATAGATAATAAATTCATATTTAGACCCCTCGATGACCATAGGCTTACTTAAATCATTGAAGAAAAAATAAAAAACTATATGATAAATACTTTGGCCACGGCTAAAAACTTATTTGAAAAACAAAAACAAAAAAATGTTCTAAAAAATTTTATTACGAAAAGTTGATAAATAGAACCACTCAAAAAACGTAGAATATCATTACACAAATAATAGTTGATAAATTTGCAAAAAATAATCAGCGTCAAAAGCTTTTAAGTGATGGGAAAATGATGGGGAAAAAATAGGTAAAAAACTCATTATTTTAAATGACGTTCCGTAAGTACAGTTGTATCGCAAGTAAATATTAAAAATCTTTAAAAATCTCAAGTAATTCTGCTTTGTAAGAACCTAGTTCGAACCTAAACGAGATAAGGAATGCTTTTAATAGTCAAAAAAAGTAATATAAGTGCAGACTTTGATAAAATTAGTACGAATGTTACTAAGTCATAATCACTGCAATTTTAAAGTCTGGTGAGAAAGCTAATGTTAAAACTACATAAAAAATACCTAGGAAATCGGCTAGCGAATAGCTAGCTATAATCGTTACGATAAAGAGAGCGATTTGGCCACGAGGATCGCTTGCTTTTTAAAGTTAGCGAAAAGCTATCGATATTTGTAAAGATAAAGACAGCGATATGGCTACGAGGACAGCTAGCTTAATAAGCTAAAGACCCACTGGCTATTGTAGCTACCGTCGTATCGTAATAAAATCGCTATCAAAAAAATTTGGTATGTAGCTAACAACCAGCTATAGATTTGTAGATATTTTGTAGCTAGCTACAAAGCTACTATATGTAGCTAGCGACACATTGCTACAACATCGCAATGTTTAAAGTTCAATTATTCTCATAATTATAATAGACTCAACACTAAAAATCAAATTTTTAGATGTTAGAGACAATAGGAAAAAATAAAATTAGAAAAAAAAATTGCTTGAAAATCGCTATAAAGCTAGCTAGTTGCTTGCTATTCGCTAGCTTATTTCCCACCGGGAAATAAGCTAGCGATTAGCAAGCAACTCTTTATTTCTTACTGTAAGTGTAATTTGACAAGCTAAAACTTTTTACTAAGCAAAACATGCCTGCAAGATTATATTTGGAGCACTCAAAACTGTTCACTGCGAGCTGCTCTTAAAAGAAACATAAAGCCTTAAACCTCTAAAAACTTAATATACATGTTATTCATGTTTAATATAAACCATGAACTTCCTTTCAATATGCTTCAGCCTTACTTTAGTGAAACCTCTCACAAATGCTCTACTAAGTATTCAATTATTAACTTTGCTGTTAAATAAACTAATTCAAATTTAAGTTCTTACCAAATCCAGTATCGTGAACTGTTTTTATGGAAACATTTTTTGAACTTTATTACTAAAAAAAAACTGTTCAAAAGATCACCATGGAACAGTTCAAAAGAGTTTTAATTCAAAAAGAATTTGATATAAAATATCTATTTTAAATAAAATCTATATTTTTCTTAAAAAATAGTTATTGACACTATACATTTCTCGTTTGTTGTTATGTTAGTTCTTTTTTCTTTTTTCTGTTGAAAACTATTATACTTTTTATTTAATTGACGTGTAATTAAACTTGTTAGTGTTTTATTACTTATTTTTCTATACTACTGTATATAAATTTACTTTTTTTTAATTATTGTAAATAGACTTATTTTTTAAAATTACTGTATGTGAACTTTTTTATTTTTTTATTACTGTATATAAACTTTTATTATTATTATTATTATTATTATTATTGTTATTATTATTATTATTATTGTATTTGAACTTATTAACTTTTTATTCCTACTGTATATCAACTTATTTTTTATTATATATTATAGTATATAAACTTTTTTTATTGTTATTACTATATATCAACTTTTTTATTATTACTGTATATTTAAGCTTAAATACTTTTTTTAATTACTGTATATTAACTTATTTTTTATTTTTACTACATAAACTTAAATACTTACTTTAATTACTGTATATGAACTTATTTTATATTATAACTGTATATATAAACTTATATACTTTTTTTAATTACTGTATATGAACTTATTTTTTATTATTACTGTATATTTAAGCTTAAATACTTTTTTTAATTACTGTATATTAACTTATTTTTTATTTTTACTATATAAACTTAAATACTTACTTTAATTACTGTATATGAACTTATTTTATATTATAACTGTATATATAAACTTAAATACTTTTTTTAATTACTGTATATGAACTTATTTTTTATTATTACTGTATATATAAACTTAAATACCTTTTTTAATTACTGTATATTAACTTGTTTTTTATTATTACTGTATATATAAACTAAAATACTTTTTTAAATTACTGTATATTAACTTATTTTTTTATTATTACTGTATATATAAACTTAAATACTTTTTTTAATTACTGTATATTAACTTATTTTTTATTATTTACTGTAGATAAACTTATTTTATTATGTATTACTATATATAATCTTTTTTTTTAATTACTGTATATAAACTTATTTTTTATTATATATTATTGTATAGGTAGGTATTATATATTACTGTATAGGTAGGTCAATAATTGCTTTACAAGCCAATACAGTTAAAAAACATGATCAAAAAATAGCAGTGATTATTATCAAAGATATAAAATCAACTCCATTCCTACAGATTACTCCAAAATCGCCATCTTGGATTAGGATTGTTAAAAACAAATCAAACATATCCCCACAAATAGGACAAGTCTTAGTTGAGTTTCAACAAGCAGCAAAATGTGAAAAAAATATAATAATATTTGGTGTTCCTAAACCAGCAACCCCAGTTTGTAATACTAATCCAACACCGCCTGTACTATCGTTTCCAAAACTATAACCACGTAAATACTCATCATGTTTGATAATTTGTGAATATATCCTAGTCGGGTCAGTAACTGCACAACGAGAAGCATCTTTGCAATTTGCGCAACTCATTGAACCAGCAATCAGTTGTTGCACTACTAACAACCAACTCCTAATTTTTCTTACCGGTGGTCTAAATAAATGTTCTACAGATTTTATTTCTCGTTTGCATCAATTAATTAGTTTAAACTCAACCCCCCGACTCAAAAACTAGCAATCCTGAATATAATACTAAGTACTGCACCTAAATGTTCTATTTCTCAAACTCTGCCTGAACTCGATAACTCTGATCATCTCGTTATTTTATGTCAGCTATCATTTTATCTATATAAAATATACCTACACTCTCCGCGTAAAATTACCTACTACTCCGGTAAAATAGGAGATACATTAGCAT